ACATGGCTCTATCGACTCGTCTATTGATGCTGATCAAGAATATATGTACTTTTTGGGGTCGGAAACGTTTCCTTCTATGCGTTACACACAACCGTAGTTCCCCACAAATACAATACACCCTATTTACTCTTCGAGTACCGGGTATAAAAACTTCAGTAGGGAATGACTATATCTATCAGATCACCAAATTGGGATCAGATTGTATCATTATTATAGCCATGAATGAAGAAAATGATTTGCAGTGGCTAAACTTACCCCGTCCTTTCTCACTCTGCTTCGTGTAGTGTGGTGCTCTAGGCGTGGGGGCGAGCTAAAAGAGCATTAACAAGAAATGGTGTAGATGTAGATGACAAGTGTAGAAAAAATGTAAAATGCTAATTTTGAAGAAAACCACTAAGGTATGGATGTCCTACTGAGTACCGGGTATGAAAGTTGTGACGCTTAAGACGCGTTTCACACGTCCCTCATTGTTAATATTATTTAACATTAGCTAGAGACGCTCCAGTTTCGCTCAGTGTAATCATATTTGTGGCATCCCTCCACCAAAACGTCCACTCGGATTTCGGTTTTTTTCTCTTCTTTATTTATTTATTTTTGGCATAATAAAAGAATGACAGGATAAGTTACTGGCAAATGAATCAGCAAAACTATGTCTTATGCGACACACAGATACAGCCCCACATATTCGCTAAGACAGCCACGCCCACTAGGCGCTAGCAAAAGCCAAACATCAAACATTATTATACCCAGTACTCGAAGAGCAAAGAGTATGTTGTACTTGTGGTAGAAAAGTGTAACCCACGGAAGGAAGCGTTTCCGATCCTACAAAGTAAATACATATATATTTTTGATCAGTATCAATAAGTAGTCGAGTCGATATAGCTTTGTATGTGTATCTGCTCGTCCGTTTGTCCGTCCTGATGAGCTCCTTGAACTCATAGGTCATAACAGATAGGGCAATCAAGTTTTGCATCCAGACTTCTGTATGCTCACACTGACTAACTAACTAACTAAGATCGGCTTAGATCATTATTATAGCCAGAACGAAGAAGTTCATTTGCAATGGCTTCCGTCCATCCCTTCCGGTGGGTGGGGAGAGCCCTCGTCGAGAGATGTACATATTATCTACCGATCCAATTAATAGGAACTTAATATACTTTCAATCAGAAATAATTAAAATTCTTACGTAAAATGTGTTGTCTTTAAATTAAGAAAAATTTAAACACCTTTTGTTAAAAAGTTCCCTTTTAGAGGGGTATCTCTTAGTCTTAATATATAAGGTATATTCTCAATTTTTCTGTTGTGTAATTTACCACCAAGCAGCAGAGTGGATGATGAGGAGTGGTTACGTCCGCATGGGTAAAATTAATAGGCATAATAATTTTTTGACAGCAAACCCAAGGATAACGAACACCCGTACCAACACACAGCCAAACAGACAGTCCTTTGCATGCGGTGGTTCCGTCCCTTCTCTTTTTCTCTTGTTACTGGGGGGTAAGTACACGTTGAGTGACGGACAGGTTGATGATAAATGATGTCGCAGATGTTGGGTCCCCCCGGCACCCGGCACTTGGCTCTTGCCATGTCATGGAGGCAATCATTTGGGGGAAGGCTCCCCATGTCGCCCATGGCCATGACAGAGACTGTCGTTGGCTCAGTCGTCGCCTGATTACCTTGATGACGTTGCCACATATTTGTTGTACACTTCGTACGCGTATATGCCCCCATCCCCTGGAATGAAATTCATAATATTTTCTGCACTCTCACTGAGGGCCTGAAATTGAAGGAACTGTTTTTTTTCTTTTCTTTTCCGTCGGGATAAGGGAAGTTGAATTATTATGTTAGTGTATTTATTTAGGAAACACTATTTGGTATTATTTATTTAGGTATTAGTCTAGGAAATTATAATATTTCTTATTGATCTTTAATGAATGTTTTACAATTACTCATAAATATTTCACTGATGACATTCTTTCAATTGGGTTTCCTGTTCCTGTAGAAAAACAATGCTTGATTATCGTATATTGTTTAAAAAAATGTCAGAATGTGGATACTGATATTTATGGGCTACTTTATGCCAAGATCGTCGTCCTAGATGGCATTTGAAATTATCTAGGTTCCTACAGGTTCTACTTTTGTATTAAGAAGAAAGAGCCAGAGTCATATCACCATAAATATATGAAAATTTTACTTGTTGTTTATTTTTCTATACGCAATAAATAAGTAATTTATTTCCTAAAATGAATTTATTATCTTGTCTAATATTTTTTATTGGGTCAAAACTTTATTATTTATTATAATTAATTGACGAAATGTTTTTGTTGGGTGTGTCGCATTGACATTGAATAATGGATTTGGCCATTTGGCCAAAAACCACACTCGTCAGCACTCTGGCCCCCCCTAAGCCATCCATTTACAGAATAATACCTAAAATGAATGCCCAGAAAAGAAAAAGTTAAGACAGAATCCATGCGATATGTGCAAAGTCATCAGGATCTAATCTATCAGTGACGACGTGTCAATTTAAAATGTGAGAAAATTGCCGGGGATGATGGATTCGTGGCTTGATGGATAGATGGATGGCTGAATGGTGATGATGATGATAATGAAAAGAAGAAAAAGTAATTAGTGCGCTTTAATGATGTGTGCTTTCATAATTTTTAAGGAAATATCATAATATTGAAATAATTGAGTTATAGGCAAGCATAGGGGCATTTAAAGGTTTCCGCCATAACTGGATGAATGTCAGCCCTTAAATTACGATGGTTGCAGGTGCAAAGGCGCACTCGCCTCGGACGCCAAAACGCTTGGTGGCGCCGTCCTACAACTTAGGCTCTGACAAAAATATTTCTTGGCACGGTCCTGCTCCCTTTCCACCTTTTCTTACTCTCTCGCTCCATGTGGTAATGGTAAAAGAACCTTCGAAGCTCTCTGCAAGTTGTATAAGCACACTCTATCAGAACCCTTTTTCACACCCTGGCACGGTCACTACTAATCTGCTGCCGCCCTGCTACTGCTGCGATTAATTAATAAATTAAAGTACTTAAAATCAATCACATTTTTGTTAAAATCTGGGCAAATGCGTTTTGTGCAAAGTCGGCGGTAAATATGCTTTAAATGTGTTTTTAACTGCGAGTTGCAGTATTTCGCAATATATGCTGCCAAAAATCAAATGGAAAATTCTGTATGTGCTGCTGCTTTTTTTCGTCAAAGTCGCGCAATAAATAAATTATAGTGTTACTCATCAAAAAACAGCATAAAATCTACTAATTTGGAAACTATTGACCCTGGCCATAAGAGAACTTTATTAGAGGCACCGAACAGAGTTAACCGAACAATGCGAAATAACTGAAATGAACGGAACATGAACCCGATTCCCGTACGCCATGAAATGGCTCATAAATAAAACAATTGAGTGAATTCATAAATCAAACACTTAATATAATAGTTTCCGCTTTTGTTACTCTCGTATTATGTGTTCGCTCTACCAAAGTTCTCTACCCCACTGTGTGCTATGCACTTGCATAAAATTCTCATAAATTAAAATAACTGTAAAACAAGAAGTGGAAGGTAAGCCGAAGCGAAAGATACCCTAGATTAGTGGTCACTTCCTGTGGCTGGTTTGCTATATTGTCAGATGATTTATGTTTTTAGTTGGTTAATGTATGTTTCGATTAGAAGCTTTCACTTATTGTAATCCGATCCCTTCTCTTTCAGCTGCTGCAAAGAATAGAAGAATACTTGTCTTTTCTTTATCGTTTTCAACACGCTTCCCTATTTGCTTTGCAAACATATACGCCAAATATAATGCCCTTTCCGAAGAGTATAAGAACCCATTGTGTGGGCCCCGCAGAAGTGCTGTGCGGTATGCGGCAATGGTGAGGGCCTCTGTGCCTCCTCACTAGGCCTGGAAATTAGCATACAAACTGTCTGACTGAAAATCCACCCATTGAGAGAGGGAAACGACTCGAACCAGGTGAGTCGCACGATAATATTAATATGTACCTCACTTAATCATAAATGAACGGAGACATGCAAAGTACCGCCCCAACCCTCGGTTTTGCTGGTCCCCTTCCAATCTGTGCGACAATTGATGTATGGAACATACTTCCTACCCGTTTTGCATGCCCTTTCTATAAGGATATTATTGTGTTTACAAACAAACAAAAAACGAGAAGGGACATGTGAGACGCTTCTTACGCGTCACAACTTTTATACCCGGCACTCAGTACTAATTTTGCACCTTAGCGATGTTTTGTCAAACTTAACATTTTTTCTTCATCTGTCATCTACATCTACAACACTTCTCACACCAACACGATCCTTTAGCTCGCTTTCCTTCCCAAGAGCCAAACACCCTAGACCCGCAGACTCGCGGCAGACGCAGTGGCCGCACACAGCAGAAGCAGAGAGTGAATGAGAGAATGTGAAAAAAACAACAAAAGCTGAGGAACAGGGTGGGTTTAGCCACTGCAAATTAATACTAATAATAATAATAATGATCCAATCGGACCCCAATTTGGTGATCTGGTAGATATGGTCACTCCTTACAGAATGGCGTCAGTTTTCTTTTATCTTCAAAATTGTAGATTTGGGAGGTTTTCGAAAACTAGTAAAAATCTATAAAAAAAATATAAAATTGGTCTAATAATAATCTATTGAATCTATTTTTAGTTTTCTTTGATTATTATTTCTGATTCAAAAAACCATTTAAGATTAAGAAAGTCGTATTTTGTAAAGCACTTATAACTCGAGAACGGCTGGACCGATTGCCATGGTTTTTGATTTGTTGGATTTGTTTCCGTCGCGAGTAGCAGAATACATCTTAAAAACAACTTATGTGGTTTTTGTTGCGGGCTTAAAGCCAAAACTTTATTTTTTTCTGAAGACATCATGTGTGTGTTCAGGAATTTATCTAAAAAGTTAATTTGTTGTTCATTTGTATTTGTTTAATCATATATAATATTTGTTTTATTTATTTGTTTAATTTTGTATAAATCATTTTAATAACAATGCCGCATCCTAGAAGATCCAATCTTTCCCAGCGAAGCCGTAATGCATTTGGGGGTGCATTTAGAGAACAGTCAGAGAGTATATTTCACAGCGTCGAATTCTGCTCAACGTGCCGAAACACCTCCAGAGACAACACTGACCAGTTTCTTTGCGATTTGTCAAAGCGATCCGTTCGATCCGTCAAAGCAAAGCGTTCCTTTGCTTTACTCAGAAATGCCACGTTATTACACTTGGAACGCTACATCGAAGAAATTTCAACGTCGGAAGCAAGGCGATGCAGTTCCTGGTCATCCTGATATGCGTTCTACTGATGCTCTTGGTCGTATTTATACAGTTCATCCGAAGAATGATAAATGTTTCTATTTGCGGTTGTTTCTGGTACATGTCCGAGGGCCAACATCATTTGAATCACTTGCGGCCACTTGGTATCGTGTGCCCCACATTTCGTGCAGCATGTCAAGAGCTAAATTTGCTTGAAAACGATTCTCATTGGGACACGACAATCGCTGAAGCAATTATTTCTGCATCTCCAAGTCAGATACGCACATTATTTGCTATCATCATTTCAACATGCTTTATATATATTCTAATATTTAAAATATAAAAATGCACCCGTTGCTGCTTTTCTACTCTGTGAGAGAGATATGGTGAAGTACGATAATTAATTACAAAGCTCTCATGTCGTTAAAGCTTATTAAAGGGTAACAAAAGCTTAGCCATCTGTTTCGGTATCTCTCTCCTTAGTTGAAAGCTTAGTCGGCCTTCATTTGAAAATGGGGCTTCTCACTGCCAACAAGTTGCATGTCGCTAACTAGTTTATAATAATGCCTTTTGACAACCACAACAAAAAAAGTGGCAACCTGTGCTACATGACGCATTGTATGACATGCATGCATGTGGTTATGGAGGGAGGTAGGATGTATACCGAGAGCCACCCCAAATACGAACCGAAACTAAACCAAATTAGAAGACTTTTTATTTTGTTTTTGGGTAATTTATGACCCAGCACTTTTCGAGTCAATTCAGCCAAGCGTTAATCGTCGTTTGACTCGTTTTTCGTAGGCCCAACAATGGACAAACCTAAAAAAAAAAGAGAAGGGACGTGGAGACGCTTCATACGCGACACAACTTTTATACCCGGCACTCAGTACTACATCTGTACCTTAGCGGGTTTTTTTCAAATTTAAAATTTTTTCTAGGTTTTATAATCTCTGAATACGGACAGACAGACGGACAGACAGACATGGCTCTATCGACTCAGCTATTGATGCGAATCAAGGCTATACTTTGTGGGGTAGGAAACGTTTCCTTCTCTACGTTACATACAGTGGCGAGCATATTTGGATAGTAACCAAGTAAACCACTTTTCACTTCAAACGACTGTAAAATCTGTAAAAATTAGTAAATTCTTCTAATTCTTTTTTAATAGCTTCCTTAGTTATACGGCAATGAATTAAAAGCTTCATTAAAAGTTTTTATTTTTTGTTCAAAAAGTCAATGTATCCACTTTTGCACGTTTCTAATATTTTAAATTCATACATTTTTCAAAATGTTTTGTGCAAAGGCCCTTAGTATTTATCACACTCAGAATATGCTTGGGTATATTCTCGACTTAATTTTGAACGTCCTCGCCAGATATTAGGTCCCACTTGGTTTGCATACGGACCTAAAGCTCATGCGTTCCCTTTGGGGAACGGCCTGATTGCGGCAGCCAAGCAGAAAGAGTCTCCCCGCCCACCAACAAAAGAAGCTATAACAAAAAGAATTAGAAGAATTTACTAATTTTTACAGATTTTACAGGCGATTAAACTGAAAAGTGGTAACCAAGTATCCACAAATGCTCGCCACTGTACATCCACTTTGTGCACAAATACAATAGACCCTATTTACCCCGAGTACCGGGTATAAGAAACCAAGTCCAGTCTGTCGGTCGGTCCACGGTCGGTGTTCCGTTTTCAATGAAATTCAGTGCTGGTTTATGCGCATTGTCGTCGTTTTTCCGCCTGCCCACATGACGGGGGCTACTGTTTTGTTAGTACACTACTATTAATATTGCCATTTGCCGACTCCAGTGACAAGAGGGGCGACATGCAATGCCCCCAGTCTCTGACTGCCTGCCGCATGTCAGCCTGCCTGATGCCTGCCTGCCTGCAAGTTTACAGCGTTTAATTTTCGTATCGTTTTGTTTAGTCATAATCACAATGTGGGTATGTGCACCTTTTCTCCAGCACTCGTGAATCCTGTTTCCTTGGTTCAGTTAACTGTTTTATTTTTTATTTGTGTTGCCATCTATTGCATATTTCATAATTAATTGTAATATTATACGCAGAAATATGCAAAAATGGTCAGTCATAATTTATCATGCGGTTGCCAGTTGTTTAGTCTTACAAACAAATAGAAACAAAGTCAAGGCATAGCGAAGTAGTTATTAATGATGCAAGGTTCCAGCAGGCTTTGCAAACACGGTACCCAATACTCGAAGAGTAAATATAGAAGAGGAATATTGTATTTGTGGTGAGAGCAATGTGTAGCGCACAGAAGGAAACGTTTCTAGCCCTATAAAGTATATACATATGTATGTATATTCTTGATCAACATCTTTCAGCATAGTCAATATGTCCGTCTGTCCGTCCGTCACCATATTTACAAGTGTATTTCCTCTTAAAGCCTAAACCTTCCTATTTTCTTCTTGCCCGTATGTCCATTTAGTCGTTTCCCTTTCAACACGTAACAGCACGCAAGGATTTCACAAGAATAGGTTCCTGGCACCTGCCTCAGAAGGCTGTCGGAAGTTTGAACTCTTAAAATTCATTTAAATTAATTGGTTTCCATGTTGGTGGCAGTGGTAGTGGCAATAGCAGTGTCCGTATTGCGGAAGGAACTACTTGAGGACAGCAAATGTTGATGCGATGACGGGTACATTAAAGTTGTGTAAAATTTGGGGATAATCATCAAGGGGCCCAATGCAAATCAGGAAACAACCTCAACACCTGCTCGATTCACAAAACTTGAAGGGCCAAAAGTCACTCCGACAACAGTCGCAGAAACTGCGAATTACCATGCCTCAAAAAACCGTCAGTGGAAGGGCAACTCAAGTGAACTACCCCTTTGGTAAATGATGGTTGTAGGGGTGACGTGTCAACTGTCAATTTGAATTTGATATGCTGTCACAGGCCCATCACACTCCTACTCCGCAGTGAAATCACCACAAATAGACGACAATTGACAGCCCACAAGTGAAATAACCAGACAGTCGCAGGGCGGTTACAGTGGAGAACCCGAAAGTGGCTTTAGTTTGGGAATTATTTCCTGTACTAAAACGCAGACGTTTCACTGTAGCCTCTGTAGCCCGCACCGCAGCAGCAACAGCAACATCAGGGGTCACACACTCGGCAATTGAACTTTGTCATTGCGGTGGGGCGCATTTACCAAGCGACTGCTGCTAAATGCTCGTGTCAGGAGACTTTATTTGTCTTACTTATTTATGTTTATGTGTTTTCTTTCACACTCTGCTCTGCCGTGTTTGCTAAATTAGGCACACGTCCGTTCCAGGATGTGCATTGAGGAATGGGAATATGGATCGCGGATGTTGGGGCTATCCCAAATCTACCCACACGAACTTCTTCTCTTAGCCAAGGCAACAACAGCAGTGGCAGCAGCTGTGCCTAATTTATTTCATTGGACGTGGCCCCGTGTTGGTCGCACATCGACTCGAATCAAACTGAACCGAACCGAACGTAAATCCAGAACGAATCCCACTGTTTGGAGATTTATTTCTTTCGAAGCACATTAAACTTTTACAAATTGCTTAAATTACATAAATGGACGCATTTATTTTATGTTGATAAATTGAGTTGTCGGCAAGTGGCAAGTTTTCTGATTCGCAAAACTAGGGAATTACAATGGTGATGGCATTAGTGGTATATTCAAATATTTTAAAACAGGGAAAATAATTATAAGAAGTATTAGTTCTATAAGAGAGTATAAAGCAGCAACCAATTTAGATTTCAAAACAGAGCAGAACGTAAAGTAGAAAGTAGAAAAACTTAAAAGTAGATGAAATCGTGATTAGCATCCGTCCGTCTTAATGAGCGCATGGATATCAGAGACTATACAAGCTACAGCAACCAAGTTTTGCATGCCATTAGATGGCTATAATTTCGCACTGTTACATGTGTATTTAAAAAAATAAAATGTAAAATTTAAGATTCAAAAGAAACCAATACCAGGTACAGATACTGACTGCGTTCCGGGAATAAAAGTTGTGAGGCATACGAAGTGTCTCACAAACGTTCCTACTCGTTTTATATGGATATGGGAGTCACCTAAGTGACTCTTTTGCTTAATTAATGAAGAACCAAAGAAACGAAGAGTTGAGCCAAGAAGCTACTTAACGACTTGACATCTACAGACATGGCCACCATAATACTTTGTATGTAAATTTAGCCAGTAAAGTAATTTCTTTTTATGAGCCGCGGCATCGCCACATAACCAGGGAGAAAGAGAGAACGAATAGCCAAAGAAGCAAAGGAGATATGAGAGAACGAGGAGGGACATTAAGTTTCGCATAAAGTAAAAAAATGAATTAGGCCCCGACATGATGATTATGGTGTTGATGGTGGTAGCGCAGTGGAAGTATTGCTGCCCCTATCAACGCGGTAGTCTCTCGAACGCGCGGAAGTAATTGAGTTAAATATGCACAAGATGACAGCATACATTTTGCGGCACAGAAGAACATAAAAAAAGAAAAGGAGTTAAATGTGGTCTTGTGGCAAACAAAAAGGGCGGCAGAGGAAAAAAGTAGAACCCCCCTGAACTCGGCCCGAAGACAGCAAACAAAAAGCAAGAAAAGAGGGGAAAACCTACTTAACAACATCATGGGAACCGAATGGAACTACATACACATAGTACTTTCTTATAAGGTCCCTATATACATATCAAGGGAGTTTCAAGTACTTGAAAAAGTGTCCATAACAAATATCGATGATGAACTATGAAATTTTTGAAGCTGCACTCCGCGACTGTAACCCGTTTTTTTTGTCATTTATTTTGCT